ACTTGTGTATCATATGTCTATTTCAAAAGAGTTGAATGCATTCCTAAAGATTGAGAGGATTGGAGATAGGTATGCAGCTCAGTGATAGAACACATACTTAGCATCAATCCTAGTACACACACACACACACACACACACACACAGAAACGTGGGGATCCCAGGTCTCTGGCACAGTAGCATACCCGAGGGATGGAGAAGATTTAGAGGATAAGTTAGAAATGTGTAAGAAAAAAAAGGCAAGGCATTAGGAGTGTGGTTAGCCTAAGAACATTGTATCATCATGCCGAGGTAGGCCAAAATCTTAACTTTCTAGCTTCCTCCATAAAAGAAAAATTATGTGCTTAGGGCAACAATAACAAATCTAGAAAGATCTCATGTTTTCTCTAGGATTTCATGGAGAAAGCCCTTTGAATTGAATCATCCAATACTAGTAAATTATAATGCAGTTCAGATTTTTTTTATAAGCTGGTTAAATTTAAGAAATCTTCCTTTCTATTATAGAAGTAAAAAAGAAATGAAGAAAGATCATCATTTTTCCCCCTGGTAGTCAACAGGAAAAAACACTGTAGAATGGGAAGACTCCTATTTGGTGAGACAAAGTCACCAATGTTTTCTATATTTTGAGTGATGTATTACCAAATCTTTATCTTTTTATCTTATTTGACTAGTACTTCACTGGCTTCTGGCTTCTAGCCAGGGAAGTATCTTTGTACCATCTAGAACAGAGGGAATCCTGTGGGCCAGGGCAGCATGATCTGCATAGCCATCCCTTCAGCCCCGTACCCAGCCTTGTGCCTGTCTCCCTCACAGCCCCCCTGCCTGACCCCAGATTTCCTCTATGCAGTACAAAGTCAGTGTAACAGTATGTGGAGATCGTGAAAATGCCCTGGACATAGTGTCAGTTAGGCAATTTAGGATGTAACTAAATAAGTATTATGTTTATTCGTATGTTTTAAAAACTATACAACTTTAGACAATGGTTCTTTAAGTGTGGATAGATGTACCTAGCAGGGCTTTTTTAAAGCAGATATGTGGATCCTACAACTTTGAATTATAATACAATTAATCAAGGATTAAAACTCAGAAAACAAGAAAAATGCTATTATAATTATCACAATTCAACACTCAGGAGGCTGTGACAGGAGGATCATTGTGAGTTTGAGGCTGAACTACAGGCTGAACTCCAGCCTGAACTACATAGTGAGATCCTGTCTCAAAAAACAAAAGCAAATAATAATTGTCACAATATATTCTGAAAGTTAGACTCAGGGTAGTGCCAAATTCTTTAGAAAGTTTTTTTCTGAGATTACATACAGCACTTTCTCTTCTTTTATATTTGTACCTCTTGCTTGCTTTTTAAATTTTTTTTGTATTTTATTTTATCATGTCATTTTGAGACAGGGTCTCACCATGCAATTCATGCTGTTCTTGAGCTCACTTTGTAGCTCAGGCTGCTCTCAAACTTGCAACAATCCTTCTGCCTCAGCCTCTTGAGTGTTGGGATTACAGGTGTGTATCACCATAGCTGATTTTGCTTACTTTGTAAAGATATTTAGATACAGAATAATCATGTTTCTTTTAATGGGCATTCTTGCATGTTAATCTTCAGTATCTACTTATAATTATGGAATCTGAATTCTAAGTCACACTCTATAATTTTTGGCTAACCAATCCAAGAGCTGCCTACCTAGTAAAATTAGAGGAAACTGAGGCAAGGCACTGCCTCCTACTAAGGCACTACAATACCAATTTCAGTAAGCCAAATTTAGAACAAAGATCTAATTTCAAAGAATCTCAGTACATCATAGAACCCAGTGCTAAATTTAAGTATTATTAATCAGAAATAATTATATTAATCAGAGAAATAAATTTTTCCTATTAAGTGAGACAGTGGGGGCTTCTTAGCATTGCATGAAATGAGAACAGACATGAATTATTTTTAAAGAAATGTGTGTATGCATAATATTTCTACCGCAAAAAAGGTTTTGAAACAATTACAAATTCATCGTGACTCACTCAAAGTGGATGACGTTTTGTGATTTGAAATTAAAAAAAAAGTATTGCCTGCACGTTCTTAGAAGAGGTAAAATTCCAAGAAACATCTGAACAAAATAAAATTCTCAGATGAGCATTTCCCAGTTAGTCACCCCTCTTGTTTTGTTTTTTAAATTCATAGTTGTTTTCAGTACCTATTCAGAAGATTGTTTATGAAAATAGGTATGGGGTGGTTCAGCCTCTCTCATCTGGCCTGTTTTTCTGACTTGGTTGTACAGTATTGTGAGAAAGGACTCAGCATCAGTTGCAGTGACTGGAGAAGGAATGCAAAGGACGAGACACATTGAAGCATTTTTCTAGAAAACTAGCTGCAAAAAACATACTACTTACAGAAATACATGCACATTTACTAAAATATTGTTAAAAATCCCAGACTTCCACTCCCTTTTCCTCTCTTTTCTTCCCTTTTTAAAAACACTTTAACTATTTTGAAGTATACGGTTTAGTGGTGTGTTAGTCACATGTCTTTTGCTGTGACAGAATACCTGAAAGCAGCATTCTTAAATGAGAAAACATGGTGGTTTGGGTTCATAGTATCAGAAATTTCAGTCTATGGTTCCAGAACCCTGCTGCCATGGATTTGTGATGAGACAGAACATTATAACTAGGTGCCTGTGGTGTGAAGCCAAGCTGCTTCCTTTCTGGTGGTGGGGAAGAAAGAGGTCAAGAAACAGGAAGTGTCCTGGGACAAAACAAAGGCATGACCCTGGGGCCTTACCTCCTCCACTTAGCCCCACCTCCTAAATTACATCATTTTCCAGTGCTGCATTAAGTTATGTCCCTCAGGGTGTTAATCCTTTGATGATGTTACAGCCCAGTGATCTAACTACTTCCCAAATGACCTTTTTCTCAACATGACTACATTGAGGACCAATCTTCCACTGTATGAACTTCTCAGGTCCAAACCATAACAAGTGGCACTGAGTACTTTCATACTGTTGTTCACCTCCTCACGCACATCCCTTCTGATGAATCTAGAGCTCCTCTTTGTATCACTAGATACTGGAGCAGTAAAGTGGTCTTTCCTAGAAAGATCCTCCTAGAAGACAGCTTTTATCTTTGCAAACATAGCTGCCATCTCTGCAGCTGTGAGTAACTGCAGCTGAAAAGAGAATCATGGCAGTGTGAGGAACTGTCCTGTGCCCTGCTTATTTTGGTACCATGGCCTCTACTTTTCAGATCCCAGTAATATAATGTCTTAACAATATATTTGGACAGTAAGTCTTCAAAAGAGGCAAGCTTATCAGTAGCAAGCATGTGGCTGCAAACAGCAAATAGGAACCGGCAAAGAGCAAGACACATCTTCTTCCTGCCATTACATCATATCCTGGCTCCACCCCTGTGTGGGTGGAGCACTGACACCATCAATCCAAGCACTAGACAATGAACCAATCACAAATGCACAATGCAAACTCATGAGGCCTGGGGGATACAGACATAAACCATGACACCATAGGATTCGGAAACAAGTAATTTCTGCAAACTGGGATATTAGCTTTAATTGTTCCAATAACGTGGCCCTCATTCAATATAAATTTTAATTGAAATGCTGTGAAATAAAATGTCATTTAAAAATCTCACCTTATGTGCAAATTTTGAAATTGTGTAACAAAGAAAAGCAATGAAAGCATAAGATAATTTCCAAAGCCAGTCTGTGTAACTATTTCTGTCAATGCCACATTGGAAGCTTCACTATAGGTTAAAAAATATACCCAATGGCCTTTATCAGTCCTCTGGGAATATAGGTTCTGAATTATGAGAGCTCTGCCTAATGAGTGCTCCTCAGGAATGCGTTTCTCTGTTAAATAACACTGTCCTTGTGCTCTGAAGCCTGTGATGTTCTTAAAGGCAGCTGGGCAAATTAGTCTGCACTATTTCCTCCTCTTTCTGGAGGAGGCACAGCCACTACTATAATTGAACAAAACTTCCTGCAGATGAAATTGAAGTATCCTGTAAAACAAACCTTTTATATGAAAGCTCAACTCCCAGGAAACCTCTAGTGCTAGAGAAGAGACCATGACTTGTGGTGCACATCTCATTTTTACTTTCTATCCATGAGACCAACATAGGACTTGAAAAACAGAGCCCCACATTGATAAGACAAGTATATTCCTAAGAGATTTCAAGATTTATCAGATAAAGTGATTAAGGCTGGGGATATGTGTCACTGGTAGAGTGCTTGACTACTGTGTGCAAGGCCCTGGGTTCAGCACCCAGTATCACAAAATTAGGGATGTGCTCAGTAATTCAGAATGATGACTAATCCTGACACTCGGGAACATGGAAAAATATATTCAGTTCAACCATTGCCCATTTTTAATAAAAGCCTGTAGTTCACACAGCAAAACAGAGTGACCTGAAGGCTATTCCATCTGTCTGATCAATCCAAACAGTGGCTTTAAGTAACATTTTTTTCTGAAAAAAAATTTTTTTTTGGTATTAGGAATCTAACTCATGACCTCACACTTGGCAGGCTAGTGCTATGCTGCTGAGTCCCCAGCCCCTTCTGAATTAAGTGTATCCGAGTCTGATCTAAGCTCTGAAGACCAGTGTAAGTTTGTTGGAGAAAGCCTATCCAACAGTAATTTTTCGATTAGTTAAAGTGCTTGACCAATAAATATTACAGGGTAAGTGAGGAAATTGAATGATTAAACAACTCACAATGAGGAACATAATAGCCCGAGTGATGGCTACACCTTTGACAGTTGCAACATGCAAATGACAAGTGATGTGCAAATTTGCGCCAGTTACTTGATTCAAGAGCTCATGATTTCTGAAATGGATTTGACCACAAAGTACAGTATTTATGGCTAGAATGAGGACTTCATTTCAAGAATAATTACTCTCTTTGGGCTGGGAAGCAAGCTTGGCTCCTGGTTGCAAAGGTTCCAGTGCCATGCTGAGCCGGTTGACCACTTTCTTTCCTATTGCCCACTGTCTTGCAGACCAGATGATGTGCTCCTGCAACGCACACATGATGAGATCGTCCTTCTGCATTGCTTCCTCTGGCCTTTGGTGACATTTGTGGTGGGTGTTCTCATTGTGGTCCTGACCATCTGTGCCAAGAGCCTGGCGGTGAAAGCAGAATCCATGAAGAAGCGCAAGTTCTCTTAAAGGGGAGCAGGCTTATGGGAACAAAGCACAGAAGCTGCCCGTGTGGGCACACGCGCACCTGCAGAGCTCGCATTTCCTGGCGCAGGAGATGGAACGGGCCATGACAGGTCTCCGAGAGGTTCCTGTCTCAGTGGCAGCAGAAACAGGCACAATTGGAAGACTTGGAACCTCGTAGCTTATGTTCCATGTGTCATAGTGATGGCTAATGGTCAAGCCTTAGCTGTATGGAGTGACTGTTCCAAAAAACCCTATAAGAAGTTGATTTTCTTTGGAAAGTGACAGTATATTACTTGTATAGTGTAGTATACAAACCATTATGATTTCTGCTACTTAAAAATATTAAACTAGAGTGGTCTGTGTTCTTTTCTATTTCCTTTTTTATGCTTAGAACACTAAGGATTTAAAAAAAACAAGATTTTTTGTTTCTTATTTGACTGTAGATTTAACTTTTACTTAACAGTGGAATTCCAACAGAACTCTTGACCTTACTGCATAACCTCCGATTTTCACGATTAAAGAGTATCTTTTGATGCCTGCTCGAGCAAAGGTAACTCAGTCTCCACTCCTTTCTCTTTCTCTCTAGGGTCGGGAAAACATTCTCTATCCTCTGACTTTGCCTCACTAGTATTGTTCACAGGATTCCTTCTTTGGAGAGAAGGATTCTGAAGAAGGCCTGTCCAATCTCTGAGAGCACAGAGGTCCTGTACTTGTGCTATTTTTGATGGATTTTTATCTTGGTGCAATAAAATACACATAATATGAGGGAGACTCTACAGCTTATATTTAAAGGCTGTTTTCATTTCTCATTTCTTTTAGGTCAGGGAACAACTGAAAGTCAGTTCAAGCGTTTTGTTTTTCTTTGAGCTTGCCTCGATGCTTTGGGTATTACAATAAGAAGATTGCAAAGCTGCAGAGAGGAGCGTGGACATGCATTACAGTTCCACTGCTGGTGCTGAGCTTCCTGTGCCTGGATCAAAGTGCACTGAGGAGAACATTCTTCTTTGCCTCTGTTCGTAAACTCAAATTCCAATATCAGTCACAGGTCTCATCAAATATCAAATCTACCATATTTATTTGCTACCTCGAATCAAACCTTTGTTTAGATGAAATATATGTCTTTAGTGGAGAAATGGCTGACACCATGGTTGTTTTGCTTTGCTTCTTCTACAGATATTCGTCTATTAGAATAAGACAAAGTAGAATTTAAGGACAAGTTCCTCAGTTATTTCCACAGGGCGTTAGAACATCTGTATTAATAGAATGATATTTTCTGATTCAGTCTACACACTCATATTTTCAAGTTATCAAGGATGCCCCAGTCCTCTGGAAAAATGTTGGATGAGTGCAATCACATTTTTTGCTTTATTCAAGTGTTACAGGCCTGTGAAAAATGGCCTTGAACACATTATTTGTGATATCCTTTGAGGCAGCTAACTGCCTTGACTTCAATCCCAGTTTTCTGTTGCAAGATCCTTGTTGTCTTAGCAACGCAGCGAACTATTTTGAAGCATAGTCTAACAGGAAACTGGGAATCGAGAAAATCATCTTTGCATCACATGGTAGATGAAGTTACTTTATTCATTCTATCTTTATCCAATTATGTACAATTAATTGATTACAGGGAGTACATCAAACAGTAGTGTATGGACATGTATCTATGTTAGAAAAAAATTGACATATATAAATCTGAGTTTTCATTTGTCAGTTTCATACTTATGATTTATGTTAACCAGATGCTTCCATTTATCTACAAGAAATATATACAACTATATTTGTAGGCTGATTTTTGAAAAAGAGGAAAAGCACACTGAATACAGAAGGTCACATTTAGGTTTAAGGTCTGAGTTATTTGTAGGCAGTTAAATTTGAGTCTCCTAGTTTATAACCAAGTTGATTGGTCAACACTCCCATTACTGCAGATATCAAATACTTGAGATCTGCTACATAAATGAGAGATTTAAATTTGCTTACAGTTGCAGAGGGCTCAGTTCACAGTCAACTGACTATAAGGCAGGAATATCATGGCAGAAGGGTTTGAGGAAGAAAGCTGCGCATTTCATGGCAGCAAGAAGCAGAGAACAGGAGAAGAGCACCAGCAAGAGATATCTCCATTGGGAGGATGACCCACCTCCAGCTGGGTCCCACCTCCTAACACATATTCAGTCATCCAATCACCTTTCTAGGAGTCTCCTCATCCAGTGAAGTTGACCATAAAATGAATAGGCACACTTTTCATTAAAGGTAAAACCCAAGAGAACAAGAAGAGGAAATTTCAGATTGCAAAAGTAAAGAAACAATATTTTTTTGTAGAGCTGCAATATCACACAGGGTCCCAAGATATGATAACTTGTGTAAAACAGATTTATTTTTCCCTCACCTAGCCACCCCAAAGTACTGTTGTAAATGTGTCAAGAGCAAGTTGGCTGCCTCTGTTTTACAAGTTAACTAAAGTATTCAGGATTAGTCTGCCGTGTTTTGTTCATTATCATGTGACTTGTACATTCCATAATCATCGCTGCCTCGAAAGACAGCAACTTTCCAGCTTGGAAAAGAAAGTTGAAAGCAAGCTTTCTCGGGAACTTTTGCCCCTCCCCTATGTCCACAGTTGATCAGGAACTACTAGAGCTATATCTAGCTTCAAGGAGAGCTGACACTTGTTATCTTCAGCTAGACACGTGCTACCAAAAGTCCAGCGGGGAAGAGAAATGAATCCTGGAGTAAATGACAACATGGACAGCAGTCATGAGCAGACATGGCAAAGATCGCTTGCTGTGGTAGAGAATTCCCATGTTCAGTGTCTTCTTTGACCCCTAGTTTGAGCTTTAGGGACTTCTTACTAATCGACCCCCAAATCAGCTGTAAGAAGTATTACAGTTTTTGCAGCCTCCTTGCCTACCCTTTCTATTGTGCAGATTTATAAACTTAAATTGCTTTTAGGAATTTAAGTCTTAGGGATAAGCAAACATAAGCTTTTATGGGTCACAAACATAAACTGCGGTTCACTTGGCTGTCATGAGGACGCAACTCCATTTTTAATGTTTGATTTCTGACCACTTACAAGCTTCACCTTTCTCTTTTTCCCCTTGGAGACCACAGCTAGGTGCGAAGCTGATAAAAGCTGGGAGTGGCTCCTCCTCTGGCCTCAGTGAGAAGTTCAATTCACACAAACCTGGGCTGCTTGCAGGAACTTTCACACCCAAGAATAGCCTCACACCCAAGAGTAATAAATTACAAATCAGTTTAACGATTTTTAGATCCACTTGGGAACCTGTTGTTTCCCTAAAGGATGTGAATTATGAACCTTTTCATAACCTCTGTGTGTGTGTGTGTATGTATGTGTGTGTGTCTGTGTGTGTGAAATTTTCAGTTGCAATATCTGAACTCAATTCATAATGCTGTATCGTGAATTTTGGTGGTGGAGTGTGATCTAGCATTTTAAGGGTGATCACAGCATTGAGGATACAACACCATCAAAAACTGAGAAGCCCAGTGTGGTACACACTAGTAATCTCAGCACTTTGGGAGTCTGAGGCAAAGAGGATCAAAAGTCCACATCCATCCTGGGCAACTTAGTAATTAAACAAGACTCCCATCTCAAAAAGCGGGGAAATAAGGGGGCAGTGGCGGGTGCGGCGGGGGTGGTTAGGAGGCTGGCAGTGTAGCTCAGTGCAAAGTTCTGGGCCCAATCACTAACACCACAAAAACAAAACAACCACTACAGTAGGTCTTTGATCCATTTGTTTTTAATCAAAAGTGACTATAACCAAAGAGTTATTCTTAAGCCTACAGTCACTATTCACCTTTACATCTATGCCTCAATTTAATGACAGCTACCTTAAAGCTTTTTGGAACAGTAAGTTTAAGTGCAAATGCAAAAGCCTTTATCTAGTCTCTTCTACAGAACTGATTTCCTTATTTGGCCAGTAGTTCCGTAATGGAGACTCATATGAAAGACTGATAATCACATCTGCTCTTTGGAGTACAGAAACAGGTGAATTTCAGAGCATAGCCACAGCTTATTTAAAAAGCTATATATGTACTTGCAAACCATTTTTAAATTTAAGTTTTGTTTCGTTGCTTTTTCATCTTCAACTATTTAGCGTATGCCTTTATAGTTCAGGTATCATTTGTGCACCTGACACTCATACTGGAGGCTCAGTCTTTAATGCAATGGTGTGGAGGAGTGGAACTTTTAATAGATGAGGTAATGGGGCACAGCCCTCAGAAGGGATGCATTCAAGTCTCATGAAACTGGATTTGATTCCACAAAAGCAAATTGTAAAGACTAGCATCTTTCTTGTAATGTTCTTCACTTCTGATTATCACTTTCACATGTGCCCCTACAATTGTGCCTCCTTCATGCATGGCACCATCACCAGAGCTGAGCAGGCAGGGGCCACGCTTCGGAGCTAAACCAACTGTGAGCTAAATAATCCTCTTTGTAAGCTACCCGACCTGGAGTATTGGTCATAGCAACACAGAATGGTCTAGAACAGCACCTTACTAACCAATGGCCAATGTACATTATCGTTCTACTTCTTCCCATCATTCCACTTCCCCCATAGTTTTTCAGCCTTTCGATCTGTTGCTGGTGACAGTTTTACCTAATGGTCTGTTAAAACATCAAATCCCTCAATGTGTTCCCTCACAGTCCACTGCTTGACAATAATTCCAAAGTCACACATTTTAAATTTTAGTTACAATGGCACTTTTCCACTTGTGTTTAAAACTACTAATAAAATCCCAAAGACTAGGTGACTTAAGTAAGAGAAATTTGTTTTTCACACTTCTAGAAATTGGAAGTTCAAGTTCAAGATGCCAGCAGTTTGAATCCCTCCTGGGTCTTGTTGACTTTAAGAGAGTCCATTGTTAAGATTTTTCTCACAGGGTGCATTCTTGGGATTTCTTTCTCCTCTTCTAAGGACATCAGTACTATGGGATTTGAGACCCACCCTTATGACCACATTTAACTTCTTTCACAGTAATAGGAGTTGATTTTGCACAGACTTTGCCCTGGGCTACATCTCGAGAACACCTTCCTTTTTAAACCAGGTTTTTGTAAATCACTAGATTGCCTAGGGTGGGCTCAAACTTGTGATCTGCCTGTCACAACTTTTACAGAGTGCTGGAATTACTGGACCGCTACCACACCCAGCTGACCTCATTTAATATTAAATACCTATTTGAAAACCCTATCTCCAAATATAGTTTTACTGGTGATTAGTTCTCCATCCAATGAATTGGGCCAGAAGCTGAATTTAATCCAACAAATTCTAGTGTCAAAACTTGTAAGAATATAGGCTTAGTCACTGTAGCACACCCCCAATACAGTAGTTCATAGGATTTATTTTATTTCATGTAGTTATTCAGAAATAATCCATGAAGTTGTCCAGGGATTTGCTGTACTTCCTCATTGTTTTTCTAGTGTGTCTCTTTTCAGTGGTCAGTTTAGAGGAAGAGAAGTTAGGAGTAAGTGTATAGTTTTAGGAAGTGAAAAGTTCTGTGCATCAATTCTGTGTATATCTTTTGGATAATTAGCCTCTTGCTAAGTAGTCATATTGTGGTCAGGATTCACAAGGGAATAGATTTGACACAACACATACAGGATTATTTTATAATCACTCAAAAAGTGAGAAATGCAGAAGAGCACAAAAGGTCTATCCACACACTACATACTCAAAGAATCCAGCTGAAGACCTAGAACTCATAACAGCGTGCTCTGTGAGGCCAGCTAGAGCTGGATAGCCGATGACAGTAATCTA